CCCAGGATGTCCCCTAATCAAAGCAAAAGAGAAAATCCAGTTATCACACTCATTAAAGAAATAGTAGATACTATAATACTGTCCATTTACAACTCTGTTTTTGCACATTTACATTTAATTTAAGACTAGTAATGTTTAGTTAAATCCTGTTTGTTTATATTCCCTTTCTTAGTTTTGATATTTTTAGTGCTTATTTACTTTGTATTTAATATTATATTGTGTTTAGATTTACTAATATTGTGTTTTTTGCTCATATTGTGTGTTTGGATAACCTGCTGCTGTAACAATTTCCCAGTTTGGGATCAATAAAGTCATTCTATTCTATTCTATTCTATTCTGGACATATCAGTAGTCTTAGTGCCAAATTGTTTCAGACATTCTGCATTTCCTAATGTGGGACAGTGCTGTTCTACATGTGGGACACTGAAACGTCTATGTTAAAAAAGTCTAAATCACCTTAATTCAGGTATAAAAACCTGTCACACTCAAGTCTAAAATGTGCAATCTGTGCCCATATTCTCTAATTTTACCACTTACAATGTTACTGGTGTTACAAAACACTAAAAAAAGGACTATAATAGTTTTGATGCATTTTTCATGATGTGTTTATGTTCCAATGGGCCTGCAGCTCGTGAATAAAGCAGAAACCTGTCAGTGAGTGGCTGTGGGCCCTGACAGCAGCAGTCTCCTCCCCCTGAAGGGGATGTGAAGAGGAGCACCCTCCGGTCTGTCTCACATACAGGAAGAAGTTCAATAAGTCCTCAACTAACTGCGTTTTCTGAAATAACTCGTCATCACTTTTTGGCACTTTCGCTGTTGCCTAGACTCTGAAATGTGTAGAGCTGAAAGAATGAGTTGTAGGACTTCTGCTGAAGTGGATCCGCTGTGTTAACTCGTGGATTTGCTGCTGCACTCTTCACAGAGACGCGTTTAGACGATCTTAAATGGGAAAGCAGGACTAACCCACAAACTGAGTGAAAATGTCCGAGCACAGATCCAGTTTTCTTCACATTGGAGACATTGTGTCTCTGTACGCGGAAGGCTCGGTGAATGGCTTCATCAGTACTTTGGGGTAAGTTGATCCTGATGTCTGCTGCCTCTCACTTTCTGCTAACTGGGGAGCCCCCAGAAGAAGTAATCCTCATAAGTTAGCTCTTTCACTTTGCAGCTGGCACCACCTCTAAACACCTCTCCGTGTTTATGAAATGAGAACTTTGAATCTGCTCAAATCAGAAGTTAAAGTTGGTGTTGTGTTCAGGGGCCTGTCAGCGCGCAAAACGCTGCTTCTCAGGAACATTCTGCACGTTTACGCAAATGTTACAGGAATGCAAAGCAGCGTGCTCAGCAGGTACACAAGTGCTGCTTACAGAAAGATTCATTTTTCATATGGTCTTCAAAGTAGGGCTCGGGGACCCAGAGGGGGCACGTTCCAAAGCATAATAATCAGAATCAGAATCAGAATCAGAATCAGAATCAGAATCAGAATCAGAATCTGGGTTTATTGCCAAATACATTTACACATAAAGGAATCTGACTTGGTGTATTGGTGCTAAACAGTTAACAAGGAAATAAAACAGAACTAGCAACAACTTAAATAATACAGAATAAGAAGATATTACAATATATAAAATAGAATTTAAAAATGTCAAATATAAAAAACACAAAAGGTGTAATGTAGGAGCGATAAGAGAGGACAGTCCCTCTATTTGTCTTCATTTGAAGTTAGAATGAGAATGTCCAGATTTCACGTTGCAGTATTTTAAACTAACAAAAGTCCTCTTTATATTTATATTTAATAAATAACTGTGAGTGAGTTCACAGAATCTGCATTCTGTAAAAGCCTTTTAAGCAAATCATGTATAAATATTTGTTAGATTAAAGGGATAAAAGATCAACTTTATTGATCACCCATGGGGGAAACTTTTATTTATTTCTTTATTTATGTAGCAACATCCAAAGAGATGTGATCAACATTCTGATTTTGATGAGCATTATTGTGGAGTTGGCAGATTCAGTCCCAGGCTGTCGTTAAAGGCAGGGAACCCTCTGATCAATCTGATGGATCAAAGAGAAGGAGGAAATAACAGCAGTATTCATTTTCACTTGACTTGTGAGGTACTTGGTTTACAATTTGAATAAATCAAGTCAGAGCGGGCCTCCATACATTTCAAGTGATCATTACTACACATTTGAACTACAGATACTTTTTAGATTTTCTAGTGTCAGTCTGACTTCTATTTAAGGCTGTGTGTTGGTGTGACTGAAACGTCATCACATTGTGTCATTCTGCACACTGAAGTGCAAATAAAAAGCCACGCACAGGTTGTTTAAAACTGAAAGCTTGAGTGTAAAGGTGAAACGCCTCGGTGGTTCCGGGTGCACTCTGACACTCTGAGCCTGCAGAACGTGGACAGAGGAATGAGACTGCCACACCCACCTCTCCCCTTTTCTTCACCCTTCAGATTCTCACTCACTTCCATTCTTTTTTTTCTTCTCCCTACCGCTCTTCCTTCAAATAGAAACCTCACAACAGCTCGAGCCTCTCTTTTTAATCCACAAAATAAAACATGCTCCTAACTTATTTTACACAAGTGTTGCATGCACTAATGTTCCCTGACCTCCCTTTCTGCTGGAGTGCACACAGCACATTCAAAGGTGCAGCACACACAGAAAGACTTTAAATGCAACTGTGCCCAGAAACTATCCTGTTGTTTTGAAGAAAAGCAGTGAAGCTCTTATCAGCCATCAGAGGTGTCAAAAGTATTGACATTCATTCCTCAGGTAGAAGTATAGATACTAGGGTTTAAAAAGACTTCTGTAGAAGTTGAAGTATCAACTCAAACTTTTTACTCAAAGTGTAAAAGTTCTGGTTTCAAAACTACTTCAAGTATAAAAGTTAAAGTAATGTGAGGGGACAAAAGCTTAGGCCGCACCACAGCGTGTAGGAATGGTATATGTTTATACTTCTCATCCAAACACAATCAAATTCACTCTCTCCGGATGGCGCGATTTATCTGGATAGGTTTTTTTTTGTGTGTTTTTTTTGAACGATGACAAGCCGGAGTGAAAACAAGCCGGAGTGAAAACAAGCCGGAGTGAAAACAGGAGTAACGAGACTATTTTAAAAATGTAAGGAGAAGAAGTAAAAAGTCTGCTGAAAAATAATTACTCCAGTAAAGTATAGATACCCAAAATGTCTACTTAAGTAGCAGCACTAAGTCATATCTGTGTTTGCTTTGGATAACATTAAATATACACCTGTGTGCACACCTTATATTGCAGTACATTAAAAAAAAAAAAAAAAAAAACCCATTAAGCCCAAAATCATTTGACTGATATAGGGCCACACATGGTTCATTTCAGACAGATTTAAAAAACATTATTTAAGATATTGAAATGATTATTCTCCAATCTAAGAAAACATTTAGAATATTAAAGAATGCCTTTTTGTTGTCATCATACAATTGGACTGAATTAGAAAATCTTCTCCTCAAAGTGTGCACACATACAAACAACAAACCACTTGCATTCAAGTAAGATGTGCAATGTATGCTGTGTGTGCAATGTGAGAAAGTGTGTGACTGGATGACATTACTTTGCTACTTTTTCTAGCGGGTTCAGACATGCGATAACAGAACTTGGTTAAAAAACTCTTTCCTGCTTGTGCAATTTCCTCACAGATGAGTCATTTTGTGACTTTTTCTCATAAAGCACTTAACAGAGAAGACTACATCAAAACCTGTTCTTCTGCATTGTGTTGTGTTGTTCTGTGTTGTTTTTTTTATCCACTCAACACAAGCAAAAAGGGCTAAAATTAGCCGGCCCACATTTATCATGAGTTCATGTTTAACTCGGTAACGGCTGTGAGTGTTACAGCCTCTGTTTAAACTGCAGCCCGGCTCTCTGCAGACTTTAAAGTTACTTATTTATGAGCATATGTGAGACTCTTCTAGACTCTTCCTGTTTAACCATTAAGCACTAGATTCTACTTCCTGTTGGCTTCCTATTGGTTCTCATTTAGATGTAATCCTGATACACAGTTGGAGAGATAAACACACATTGCAGTGGATCGACAGTGATCAGCCGCTGAGGCTTTAATAGGAAACGGCTGAGTCTCACTCCAGCTGCCAGGGTTCTATGAATTGGAGGAATTGTGCTGTGCATTATGTTTCTCCTCAGTGGACGGGATGAATGGATGTGCTTGTCCAACTGGCCTTTTTGGTACAAACGGGATGGAGGGATGAAATGGAGACTTGCATGCGATCTTTCACAGCTGGTGTAGAATTATTTCTGCAGGTTACAGTCTTAGATTTTCTCCCGGCATGAATCCAAATCTGAATGTTAAACTGCATAAAAACTACAAAACACCTGAAACATTGGGACCACTGTGACCTTTGCCCTCTGCAAACTGGTTTTACCGGCATGAATGAAAACCTGCTTCCTGCCTTCAGTGTCCTCTTACATCGGATTATCCCACCTCTCTCAGATGTGGTGCATTAAGCTTAAACCTCGTCTTGACTTAACTAAACCGACTTCCTGAAGGAGGATTACAAAATAAATTAAATTAAATTAAATTTATTACCAAAGAAAGTCTTACATTAAAGCTTTGGGCCAGGTGTCATTTCAGATTAATGGATTATTTGGCATGTTTAAAACGACACCAACCAGATGAACACAGAATTGATTCACTTACACTTTTATATAATTATATATTGACTTATTTATTACAGACAGTTTGTCTCGTTGCTGTAGCCCAGAGTCACAAACAATTCAAAGTTGTAGGTGTTCTGCACATGTGCCCGCTCTTACTTCTGTGATTACCCTAAATAAAACTCTCTGTCATTCAATCGCCATCCATCTTCCTATTGTTGACCGCTAGCAAGGGTGGCGGAAATAAATCTTGTTTAACATGTTTTTTCAGAGAGTCTAGGAACAGACCACTTCCTGGTTTAAGTAACGTCGATGAAAACCGCCCAATAACAAGACCAACTTCATGCAATAAGATAAAAGTCACTAAGATCTCTGATGGGATGAGTGAATACCACTTCACACTGTGTTGACTTCCATGTGAAGCTCTTTCACAACATGAATTACAACATGAATACAGGCCTGTCCACTCTGGTGAACAGCAGCTTTTACTGAAGAATGATCGGTCATGATGAGCTCTTTAAAACCATCAAATATTAGTAACATGTGGGTTTTTTCAGCTCTGGAAAAATAGGCAGAAAACTAGCTAATAAACAGTCTTCGGGTGTGAAACGAGACAGTTATTCAGGAGATGACACCATTTGAATGCCCTCTAATCAACTGTGCACAGAAACCACATGTTTCCTCTGGCAGCAGCAGCCTGTGTGTGCTCGAGGAACTCTACATAAGACTTTATGACCAAATGAAGCACGACCCCTAAAAGCTTCATCCTACATTTGAACTAACCTGTTGTCTATTTCTTTTTAAAGGGTGATTTAAAATTGGAATCTAACAGATTTAGAGTTTTTGAGAATGACAGTGGTACAAACATAGTGGTGGAAAAAATAAATAAATAAATAAAAGAATAAAAATAAATAAATAACTCAAAAACTGTAACCTCCACCATAACTCATTATTTATTAAAACTGCAATATAATAATAATGAATAACATGTCCATGATAACAAAGTGAAATATTGAAACAAACTGCAATAATCTTGAATATGTGTGTATATATTCCATCTGACTCTTATTCATGTAAATATTTATTGTACCTATTATTGATATCTTACTTACATTCCTATTCTATTTGATTAATATTTGTATTACTATATTTCTCCTGCTATATTTTATATTTAGGAGCAGCTGTAACGACTGAATTTCCCTCTGGGATTATTAAAGTATTTCTGATTCTGATTCTGAAAACCTCACTTTTTGTTCCACGAGCTCTGGATTTGAGTTTGAATGAAAATATTTATTCCCTCTAAAAAGTTTGCTCTGATTTAAATGTATAAAAGTACTCTTAAGGTTGATTCTTTTTTTTTTTTTTAAATTAAAGAACATTATGATAATATGAAACCGTCTGCGCTGCTGGGATGTTTTGCTACATGTGCTGCAGAGTGTTGTTATCTTCTCTGTGGAGTCAGAGTGTCTCTACTGCACAATGTTTAAGGTGACACTACTTCTAAATAAGCCCATGATGCATATATGTATCATGATAAATACAAAAACGGCCATGGCTGATAGACCAAGACTGTCCCTGATATATAAAGAACGTGTTTTTATTGATCCATTATCATTCTGCATCATGTAAAAGCCTCTGATATGTGGAATCAGCGTTAAATTGGATTAGCTCTATCCAGCTCTACGTTGCCAGCTCATCTTTGAAGCCACAGATTGATCAACAGGGGAAGCAGGCACTGTTTTGAACTGTGTATTTAAATGACACATTTTACTATGTGACACTGCATTGTTTATTTGCATTTGAGAACAATACCACAGCTACACCACACAAACAGTTGTGCCATGCAAATGCTTGTTTTTTAGGGTGAGTGATTTAGCTCACCAAGAAAACCACTGAAGGTGAAGTGAGCCACAAAGTGCTCTGTTCATGATGTGAATCTCTCTCTTCTCTGCAGGCTCGTGGATGACCGGTGTGTGGTCCAGCCCGATGCAGGAGACCTGGCAAACCCTCCTAAAAAGTTCAGAGGTGTGTAGAAATATGCTAGTCACATTCAGTTCAAGGTAAAACACACACAGAAAAAAACAGAGAAAACACAAACATGTTTCACTGTGAAGGCTGACCACATCATTTGCGCTGAATGTTTTGTAACACAACATTGAGGTTGTTAAGTGGCTCCAAAGGCCTCTTGTGGAAATAACCATTAGTTTCACCACATTAAGAACCCTCAAGTGGCTCTTAACCTGCTGCACAAAGAGTGACTCCTGAATGCCTCTTCTCCTCTCCAGACTGCCTCTTCAAGGTGTGTCCCATGAACAGATACTCGGCCCAGAAACAGTTCTGGAAGGCAAAACAAGGAAAACAGGGAAATAACAACACGCAGGGAGACCTGTTTAAAAAGTTACAGGTAGGCCTCTTTTTTTGTTGTTGTTGCATTTACTTGTTTTTATTTTTTTATTTACATATCATAGTTTTAATAAGTCTATTGTTTTTTTTTATTACCCAGCATGCAGCAGAACTGGAGCAGAAGCAGAACGAGTCGGAGAACAAGAAGCTTCTTGGAGAAGTTGTCAAATACAGTAATGTCATCCAGGTACAGCCCGTCTCCTCAGCCAACAGCTGCAGCGCCAGATTGTCTCCGGTCCTGAGACTTTGTTTTTATTATCTTGTTGACAAAGCTTGTTGTTGTTACTGTCATCCAATCCCTGACGCCTAAAGCCAATCTTGAAAGAAGTGCACAATGGAAATACTACGTTTCACTCATTGGGTCTTGATTTAGACATTGGATTGAAAAAAGCAGCAAGAAAGCAACCAAAGAACACCCCCCTCTGGGTAAAAGTTATTAGAACTTACAGATTCTTTTGACAAACCTAACCAATGAACTGATCCCCTGGGATTTTTATTTTTTTTATTCATTTTTCTCATAAACAGCAGTACATTATGAAAAATATTTATTTTTTTGTTTCTTTTTCCAGCTGTATAGTTACATATATTATATGAGACAGATATTAAGCCAGCAGAAATAGATCACAAAAGTAAGAAAAACAAACCAGAATGTCCACTCCAAAGAATATACATATACACAATAATACACATGAACAAACACGTACATAAATAAATGTTCATAAAAGTAGAGAAATGAAAATCATTAATAAAAGTTGTAATCATAAAGAAATAAATTCCAATACACTCAAAGATATCATGTCAAAGTACAGGTGTGAAGTCAACCCCAGGGAGAAATGGTGCATGATCTTGGTGGGAATTATTTCTGTTAATTAATCCATGATGAAATCAATCATTTGTGGAAGTCCTTTATAAAATAAGCTCCGCCTCAAACTACTAAAATTGTAAAACAGTTTTTTTGAAGCATTCATAATGATTTTTTTATTATTATTTTTTAACCTTTATTTAACCAGGTTGGTCCCATTGAGATTAAAAACCTCTTTTTCAAGGGAGACCTGGTCGAGACAGGCAGCAGCAAAAACACAAAGTTACAGACGGAAACACAAAGAGAGACAAAGTACAATTTACAAAACACAACATTTAGATTAAAATAGAACCATCTATGAGTCTTATCTGAGAATCAGTTGTTCAAACAGCCGAGCTAAAACATCCACATCTATAGAATCTGCTTTCAGGTCTTTCATTTTAGATTTAAAAACATTTAAGGACACCAGCTCCTTGAGCTGTGCAACAGATTCCAGGCTGAGGGTGCAGAGTACCCAAAATTATAATTTAACATATAATAGAATTCAGTAACAGTCACACAAGGGCCATGTCCCTGTTTTGACTATTTTACAGAAACACTTGATATACAGCGACATTTTATTTTTGAAACATGTAAAGGTCTGAGAAGTTTCACGTATGTATCTGAACACTTCCACCCTGCAGCTCTAAAACACATTGCCCTGCATTGTTTTGTTGCAGCTCCTGCACATAAAGAGTAATAAATATCTGACGGTCAACAAGCGTCTCCCTGCTCTGCTGGAGAAGAACGCCATGCGGGTTTCCTTGGACCCGGCCGGGAACGAGGGGTCCTGGTTCTACATCCAGCCCTTCTGGAAGCTCCGCAGCGAAGGAGATAATGTGGGTTTCCTTTGAATTTAACAAACACACATTTCACCAGACTGTACAACAGCTTCATTTTTTCTTCTCTGTTAAAACTCCAGCAGATGTCATTTGGCGTGCGAGCTGACTTTTTTCATCCTGTCAGTTCACTGTTTGTCCTGTTCCAGTAACATTTCTGATTTTGTCCTCCCCCCTTTTTGGCTTTAGCATCCTATGGTTAAAGGTATTGCTCTTGATTGTGCATGGTGTTTGTGCTGTATTAGTCAGAACCTGAGTAGTGTTTTAAGAGCATGGGTGCATCGGCCTTTCACTGCATGTAGGTTTACAGGCTGAACTCTAAAAGCATCAGTCTGTCGGTTGTTACGTCGCATCTCTGCTGCTTGAAATGTCTGAAAATATTCCAAACTTGCATTGGAATAAATGTTTTGAGGCATCAATATCTGAAGCCATAGTGTGCTTGTGTTTGATTTACAAACTTGTTAAGAGTCTGCTGTGTCTGAGGATAGGTTAGAAAGCATGCAAAGTATCAAAAACAGGTAGTGTATGTACCATTCACATCTCTGAATGTTGCATTCAATGCACAAACACCACGGTCTGAACGAACCTGTTTTTCATGAACGACCCATCTCTTATCTAAATCTCAGCCTGTTGCTGTTGCACATGGCACCCTTTTTTTTTTTTTTTGTTAACGAGGAGATGTCAGACCCCCCTTTGCATGGTCACACTGCTCCTTCCTGTTTGATCTAGTTAAATGCTGCTGAAAGTCTATCAGTCCCGTGTGTCCTTCTGGGATGTGACTGTCTCTTACTGGGTTCAAGGTGGTGGTCGGAGACAAGGTGGTGCTGATGCCAGTGAACGCGGGGCAGCCTCTTCATGCCAGTAACATCGAGCTGCTGGACAACCTCGGCTGCAAAGAGGTGGGGACATCTCATATGTTTATTTTATAATTAGATAGATAGATAGATAGTTAGTTTATTGATGCAGAGGGAAATTCAAAGCATCCAGTATCAGGTTACAAAGACGTACATGACATGAAACATTGATTTCATGCAAACATTAAAGGTGCGATTTAAATAATTGTGAGGTTAGCATTAAAGTTTCCAACTAGAGGCTGACTCAGAATCAGAAATACTTGATTAATCTCAGGGGGAAACCTGTTTGCTACAGTTGCTCATAACACCAAAACTCAGTAGAAAGTACAGATAATTTCACAATATAAAAATAGTATAACAATATAATAAGCATAAGTACCAAGTGAAAGCAATAATAAAGTAGTATAAGTAATAAGCTGTGTTCAAGCGCAGGTAATTAAAAATATAAACAATATTTACAAATATGAATACACACTGATGGATTAACAGCGTAGATATTACACGGTTCATGTATAGATTGCACTTTTGATGTATAAATATTGTCCAGTTTTCAACAGATTGCACAGTTTTAGTAGAGAAATAGTCTTGGTACAGCTGTGCAGATGGGAAATGGAAAAAAGGAAGATTAAGTCCAAGAGTCACTGTGTGCTAAATAAGTCGATTGCTCTTCTTCTGGTTGTATTTATCAAAAAGATTTTTGCTTTAATAGACCTCAAATTTAACAGAACAAAATGTTAATCCTTAAAACTGTGTTAGGAACGTAAACAACCCTAAAAAGGTCGTTTTACATGTGATCTGTGTGTTTTTGCCCCTTCATCTCTGCAGGTTAATGCCGTTAACTGTAACACCAGCTGGAAGGTCGCCTTGTTCATGAAGTTTAGTGACTACAGGGAGGATGTACTAAAGGGGGTATGATGACCATAGAGATATTTCTTTGTCCTTTTTGACGCTCGCCCCTCCTCGGAGCAGACGGCGTGCAGTTGTCACACAGCGGTCTCATGTTGTGTTCTCGACCTCTCTGTCAGGGAGACGTGGTGAGGCTGTTTCACGCCGAGCAGGAGAAGTTTCTGACTGGTGACGAGTACAAGAAGCAGCAGCACGTCTTCCTCAGGACCACGCTGCGGCAGTCTGCCACCTCCGCCACCAGCTCCAAGGCCCTCTGGGAGATCGAGGTGAAGCACAAAAAGCAAAGAAGGTTTATTTCTCTATAGTAGCTGCAGAACATTAGATTTTGGATTACATGTTGTGTTTGATTTTGGCTGCGCTAAAGTGACGCAGAAACCTGTGGATTTAATCACCGCTCATTAGAAACCATCATGAATGTTGAGTAATGGAATTTAAATAGTATAAATGTCATTGATGCTTCTTTATACACAGTAAGTCAGCTTGTTGTTTTTTAGGTAACACTTTAAGTTAAGGGCACAATATTCACCATTAAAGGCTTTATGTGATGTTTTGATCCAGCAGATGTCGCCCTTGAGCACCAGCATGAAACCAAAACAACTGGCGCTGCATTGTTGTGTTAGCATGCTAATGCTAGCGATCTTTATTATGCTGGTATCTTCACACTGCATGTAAATTTACCTGAAATGAGCGTGATCTAGAAACACAGTTAAGCAGTGAGTACAGTATGTTATTCTTCTTTTCTCTAGTCCCTCAATTAAACAACTTTTATACACGAGGGGAGGAGTCAGCCGGCCGTCCGGGCGATGTAAACAAAGTGAAGATAGGACTCTGAAAACTCTGAAAACATCACAGACAGTGGGACTCGGGTGTTACACCCATTGTAGACAGTCATGACTCACAGAGTTATTTTCAGAGGAGATACTTGATTTATATTTAAGTGTGAAAATCACATAGAAAGACTTTAATGGTGAATATCGTGACCTTAATTTAGAGTGTATACTAACTAGTTGACTGAATGTCATTTATAGATGAAGTGCAATTAAAATATATTGAATCTTTAGTGACAACCATGCAATGCATTCAGAACAAAACCGACCCCATATGGACAGTTAAATAAGAAACTTTAAAAAATATAGTTGTAATACAATGATGCTGTACATGTAAGATCGTCCATCTAAAAAAAGAAAAGGTGCCCTCCAATAAGGCCAATATTTCACCTTGGATCATAGCAGCTGTGTCATATCTGCCTCTCTAACCTTTCAGTTCTTTGTCTATTGTACTGAATGTTCCTCTTATCAGCGAGCACCAAATTAAGGTTCCTGTTTTCCCTCGGCTGTTTTTGCCAAAATTCACAAGTGTTGCCCTATCAGTTGTTGACATGTTGTTAGACTTGTGTGAAAAAGAAAAAACGTCCTGTTGTACTTGGCACATTAGATCCCTCTTATTCTGACTCATGTAGGCAGAGCAGTGATAGACTACATGGATGTTAATTAATATGAAGCCAAGCATCACAGTGTCATTTAGTAATGAAGTCATGTTACTTTAACTTACTGCTGTTGAGCCTGAGCCGTTCGGTCTTCTTAATAAAACCAGAAGCTACATTTAAAAGCGTTCTAATACAGATAAAGACTTGAAGTGGACTCTGTAAATTATATCCTTAATTACCTCTTTCACAATATCACACCAGCTTGACTCAAGCAAAGACTGACTACATACTCACAGGGGCAAATCATATAATATAATAATAATAAAAAAAGCTTCTAGCTGTAAAATACTTAATAATTCTTTGTGTGTGTGTGTGTGTGTGTGTGTGTGTGTGTGTGTGTGTGTGTGTGTGTGTGTGTGTGTGTGTGTGTGTGTGTGTGTGTGTGTGTGTGTGTGTGTGTGTGTGTGTGTGTGTGTGTGTGTGTGTGTGTGTGTCCATGTCAGGTTGTGCACTATGACCCCTGTAGAAGCGGAGCCGGCCAGTGGAACAGCCTTTTCCGCTTCAAACACCTGGCAACAGGAAATTACCTCGCAGCTGAGGTATCTCTTCACTCTTTCACCTTTCTTACACCTACAATTCACTTAGCAGACTCTTTTATCCAAAGCGACGTACATCAGAGAGTAAGAACAACACAAGCAAGGATCTAGAAAAAAGGGAACAATGTGAGTAAGAGCAAACGATCAGCTTTGAGTCTGATTGGACACACAGGTGCTGACAGGAAGTGACCAGAGGCAAAGCACAACATTGAGGGCAGTTCTTGAGAGCTCTAATCAGTATAGAAACCATCTTATAAGTCGTCGTTATCAAACAAAAACCATCGTCATTACCATCATCATCATCAATAATATGGAGACCTTCTTTTAACATCACATTTCCAGTCCTACAATATTTTACAGAGGACCCCTTCTCTCACTTTTTGTTTGACTTTTCAGTGTGATAATAGTTGAGGAGACTTTTAGGTGGCGTGCTGTAGGTGGCAGTGTTCCCACTGATATGGACTCTTATCACACACATCTTTTTGCTGATGAATAGTTTGAATTTGGGTGATAATGGGGATGATAATGATGTGATAATCATCAGAGCTGTCTTGATTTGAGTTCACTCATCGCTCTGTGTTCTCTACAGGTGAACCCTGAATTCAAAGACAACCATGTGGAGCCCAAAGGAGAGGTGAGTCAGGCTAGCAAACACATTTGATCCACACACCCTCAGACTGCCTGTAACCTACAGGTATTTCCTTTTTTGGACATGCTGAGAAGATATTTTCTGATTTAAGACATCAGCAGTGTAAAGAGTCTTTTTTAACAACACAAATGATGCAGATTGCTCTCTCCTGAAAAGACAAGGTGAGGAATGAAGTGAGTGTTTTTAGTGGAAAGAACAATCATCTCAGCAGTTCCATAATTGTCGTTCCAACTTCCGGCCCTTCTCCGTCTCCTAAGTCTTTTGCTTATGCAACACCACCAGTTCTCTCGCTCTCACAAAGTTCTGTGTGCTCACACAAACTCTGAATCTATATTGAGATATTTCTTTAGCTCTGAGCTACCTCGCACATTTGTATTCTGGCGATGGAGAGGAACACTAGCTCTCTCTCAGCCTCACACTTTCTCTCATGCACATGCTGAATTTCAGACACACAGGGGGCTCCTTACATAACGTCTGGGTGTGTGGGGGGTGCCCTGCAAGAGGGGATGGAGGGGAGGCAGACGTGCTGTCTGCTCCGCTTCGCTCGCCTGTGCTAAGCTGGTGGGGTGAGTCACCGGCAGAGGAGGGCGGGAGGAGGAGGAGGAGGAGGAGGAGGAGGAGGGGAGATAGAGAAGCTGAGGCGTATAGAGGGAGCTCTGGGGAGCTTCCCATTGACATGCAGAAAACAGTTGGAGAAATTAACCCTTGGCATTATCGGCTACATCTGCATCGGTTCAGACTGTACCGGGCGTACATACTGCAGTGTCTAACAACAGCACACAGATGACTCACGCCTCTCGAGCTGCATTTCTGTCTCATTTGATACCTCATTAGTGTAAGAAGCTGTGACAGTATAGTTTGGCTCACATCTGTCTGTCCTCAATTATAGATTTTTATCTCCGCTTGGGCTCATTTATCTGTATTAACATGATTATGTGAGGAAAGATATGGCAACTCTGCGCAAAACACATCTATTCTCAGCTTTTTGGTGACTCTCTATCATTACACACCTTAAAGTGTGATTTTTATTGATCCAGCAGATGTCGCCCTTGAGCACCAGCATGAAACCAAAACAACTGGCGCTGCATTGTTGTGTTAGCATGCTAATGCTAGCGATCTTTATTATGCTGGTATCTTCACACTGCATGTAAATTGACCTGAAATGAGCGTGATCTAGAAACACAGTTAAGCAGTGAGTACAGTATGTTATTCTTCTTTTCTCTAGTCCCTCAATTAAACAACTTTTATACACGAGGGGAGGAGTCAGCCGGCCGTCCCGGCGATGTAAACAAACTGAAGATAGGACTCTGAAAACTCTGAAAACATCACAGACAGTGGGACTCGGGTGTTACACCCATTGTAGACAGTCATGACTCACAGAGTTATTTTCAGAGGATAGACTTGATTTATATTTAAGTGTGAAAAATCACATATAAAGACTTTAAATTAAATGAATGAGGCTGAATCTTAACAATACAGCAACATGTATGAAAAAAAAAAAGTAAATTGGGACGTGTGGGTAAACTTCTACATTTTGTCCTGATGGTGTCTTCCTGCTTTTTCAACTGCTCCGAGTGCTAAAATATTAATCGGTCGATGCAAGAGAGGGCAGAAAAACAATCTTCAGTTATTGTAACATTTGTGTCACAAAAACCAAAGTTATTTCCCAATCTAGTTTAATTTACGACTAGATAATTCAATACCACGGTTACTGCTCCGTTTCAAATATGTACTGCTGTCATTTAGCGCCTGCCAGGGCTTCATCTGGACTACTTTGTTTGTGGAACTGGACATGTTACTCTCCCTGATGATGGCACACCACTGATTGTCATAGGAGAAATAAACTGTCATACTGATAAAGCCCAGGTCTATTGACTTCCAGTCTCTTTTCTGTCCTCGTCTGACCTCAAACAGGACCTCACTCCTCCCACACAGAGAGCAGGCTATTCCCTGGATCTGATTCTGACTCTGAGTTGCTCCACAGCACATCTGACTGTCACCCCTCTGCATCCATCAGATCTATCAGATTCCTTATTCAATTAAATCTGTCCTTACAGGAACTCCCTCAGACATCACCACACATCGTTTCATACCACTGTAACATCCAGTCCCTTAAACCAACTCAGCTTTCCAAAGAGGTCTTCTTGGCTTCCATGCCTCCTCATGGGGATTTTGCCAGACACTGTACAGATGAGGCTACAGACACACTCTGTCTCACCTCTGTACAAACTCTGCCCTCTAGTGTCCAAAACGGCATGTAACACCTCCCTCAGTCCATGGCTCACCGAGGTGATCAGAGGGCAAAGGGCACGGCTCAGGGCAGCAGAGAGAAAATGGTGTAAACTCAGAGAGTCTACCGACCTCAGAGATTATAAGAAAAGACTTACATGATTAATCTTCAGCTTATTATCAAAACAAGATCTGTGATGTCACAGATGCATGAACATTTTCCACCCTCCACTCTGTTCACACCGGACATGTTTTCTTCATACTTTACTGATAAGGTTTCCTAGCCAGACCAACTTAGCCTGCAGAAACTAATAGTTCCTCACTTACCTCATTCTCCCCTCTGACCAAACACAAAGTCTTAATGCTGCACGTCATCAGCTCCTGCGAGTCAAACGGGTGTGTCCCCCACCACATTCAATGCAGCTTGGGTCACCCCTCTGGCTCTGCAACAACAACAAAAAAACACCCCTATCCAGCCAGCTGGTCTGTAGTTTTCCAGTTTGAAAACTACAGAGTGGTTTCACTTCTGCCCTTTCTGTCAAAAAATATTTGAGAGCACAGTCTTTAATCAAGTCTCTGAATTTCTGTCCAGAAACGATCTAATCGTCCAGAACGGTCAGATCGGAAACAGTATAACTAGTAACTAAAGAAAGAACTTGTTGCAGCTGATGCCTGTCCAGAGTTAAGTTGGTTAAGGTGCAGCAGAGTACATGAACTTGTGTAACCAAGCTCTGCACACATCTTAATACTGACTGAACATGCAAAGAGATAAATCAAGTGTTGAATAGTGAATGTAAAACAATTGTGAAGATAGAACAAATTCCCCTTTGTGAGTGATAACAGTGATTAAAGACCAAGAACTCTGATATATATAGATATATATATCTATATATATTTAGGCTTCCAGGCTGCTGACATTCATTTCTACTCTGTGTGTGTGTGTGTGTGTGTGTGTGTGTGTGTGTGTGCGCTGCAGAACGAGGCAGATATTGTGTTCTCCAAGAAGAAGCATCAGGCAGCAGAGAAGATTGCTTTTACTCTGGTTTCTGTTCCCCATGGGAATGATATCGCGTCTCTCTTTGAGCTGGATGCCACCACTCTGCAGCGGGCCGACTGTCTGGTGCCCAGGTCAGTTTCTTACAGGGGGAAACAACAACAAGTTACTTCTTCTGCAGTTGTATCCACAGAAGCATTTTTTTGCAAGAATTTACAGCACAGAGTAGAGCAGAATATAATAGATAATGTCACTTATGTTCATGCTGAACCGTTTGCTTTTGTGTCATCAACTATGTGTCATTTTTTTGTTAGCAGTGGAATAATATGTAAACCTGGACATTTTGAGTTAGAATATTTCTTAAATTAGTGGAAATGAAATAGAGACAATGTTATTTCAATCCATCGGCATAAGCAGTGCATTTATTTTTCAACAGTACTAAGAGAGCCATGCTAGCTGTTGAGCATTTAGACTGAACTATGTTTGTGATAAATGCTGCCCTGTTCACATGACAGTGCAAACAGATTATACAGTTACCATGTTTAAAACCAGCTACATGTGTGAGCATGCCAAGATGAGCTCTTTTTCATTAAAAAACAAACGTCAGCAAAAATTAAAATTTTGATCAGATGACCTCACTCTTTTGTTTTAGATAGTTCTAATCATGTGGAGAGGGACATTAGTGGCAGTAAAGAATGGAACAGCAATCCATTTAATAGTTTCCAAGACACAGAGAGGCAAAGATGATCTCTTATTGGCTGAGCAAAATGAACGCCTTTCCAAAAATGTTTATGGTAATCCATCCAACTGCAGCCAAATCATATCAGGCTGGATCAAAATCCAAAATGCAGACATTGCCATCCCTCAAGCCATGCTGTTATTTTAGCTGAAGTGTAAGATTTTAAGAATTGAAATGAGATAAACAGACTGGCCAACAAAAAATGATCAACCAAAAAAAAGTGTTTTGTGCTCAATACTTCCCCAGAAACTCCTACGTTAGACTGAGGCACCTGTGCACCAACACCTGGGTGACGAGCACCAACGTCCCCATTGATGCAGAGGAGGAGCGTCCAGTCATGCTCAAGGTCTACACTCACCCAAAAACACACACCAAAACAAACACAAACGTGCACATTCACATACAGAAGCATTGCATGAACTAGTAAAACACACAAAGATGTATTTGATGTTTTGATTTTAAACTGTCTCTTGGCTGTCACATTAGATCGGCACCTGTCCCACTAAAGAGGATAAAGAGGCGTTTGCCATCGTTTCTGTTCCTCTGTCGGAGGTCCGAGACTTAGACTTTGCTAACGATGCCAGCAAGGTCCTGGAGTCGACCGTGAGGAAGCTGCAGTACGGCAACATCGCTCAGAATGAGAGGAGGTACAGATAAGACGGCCATGACAGCACAAAGTGACAAAAGATGCTGTGCGTATTTTTATGTGTTCATATGTATGCTTTTCCAGGTTTGTGACTAAGCTCCTGGAGGACCTGGTCTTCTTTGTTTGTGTGGTACCAAACAACGGGCAGGATGTGCTGTCTGTGGTCACCTCAACACCAAACAGAGAGAGGCAGAAACTCATGAGGGAGCAGAACATCCTCGCCCAGGTCAGCTAAAAGTCTTTCATATTTTACAACAACCACAGATTGACAACGAGAAGTCGATTTCTTTCTCTGTTGGTCCTATATCATTATTTTTGGTGTTGCAGATCTTTGGCATCTTGAAGGCTCCGTTCAACGAAGAGGGTGACGGTCCAATGCTGAAGTTGGAAGATTTGGGAGACCAGCGCTATGCTCACTTCAAGTACATGTTGAGTCTCTGCTACAGGGTGCTACGCCACTCCCAGCAAGACTACCGCAAGAACCAGGCATGTTTTTCTTCATCTACACAATATTGTGTGCACATTGAGTTGTAAATGGGCCCATTAGCAGAGGGATGAGGGGCAGTTTAAGCATAGAGAGATGGACACATTCGCTTAGAGTAGATTCTGTCAGACCGTCTGGAAAACAAACCATGCACGCCATGGACCGCCCCGTTTATCGACTGCTGAATCAATAGAACTAGACACTTTAAAAATAAACAACCACTAAGATCATTGAACCATTGAAAGAAATCACAACGTACCCATTGTCATATCACTAGACTCTTGATTGTACTGCTAGCTACTTACATCAAGGTCTAATTCTAAACAGTGGCTAATGCTAACTTTTAGCCAACTAGCTTATGAGCCAATTTTAGCTTAACAGCTAGCTTGCTAACTTAATCAGAATCAGAATCAGAATCAGAATCAGAATCTGGGTTTATTGCCAAGTACATTTACACATACAAGGAATTTGACTTGGTGTATTGGTGCTAAACTGCATTTCTAAAAACTATACTCCTAATATTATAAACTATGAATTTCTAAAATGAGTCAGCAGATTCATGATGCAATCCAACCCCTTTATGAAAATACTAATTGAGCAGGCCTTGAATAGCTCTTATGAAGTGATGGCTAACAGCCGGTCCGTGTTACAAACAGGCCGAAGGTGTAAATGTGGATAACTTAATGAAAGGGAATTAGATTCAATGACAACACTAGATGCAGTGATTCAGTATATTATTAATGCTTTTCTGTAAATAACACTTTTTTATCCAACTTCACCACCACTTGTATCAAAGGTGTTTTAAAATGCAAGTGGTTGAACTTGCCTGTGTTTTCTTTTCCATGTAGGAATATATAGCCAAAAAGTTCTCAATCATTTTTAGCTTGCCAAGCTAAATAAGCGATCGCCCAACCTTACTTAGGCTTTTCATAAGTGTGCTTATTTTATTTTATTTTTGTTGTTGTTGACCTATTATAAGCTAAATGATGATTAAGTTAATTGAAAATGAGTCAGCAGATTCATGATGCAATCCAACCCCTTTATGAAAATACTAATTGAGCAGGCCTTGAATAGCTCTTATGAAGTGATGGCTAACAGCCGGTCCGTGTTACAAACAGGCCGAAGGTGTAAATGTGGATAACTTAATGAAAGGGAATTAGATTCAATGACAACACTAGATGCAGTGATTCAGTATATTATTAATGCTTTTCTGTAAATAACACTTTTTTATCCAACTTCACCACCACTTGTATCAAAGGTGTTTTAAAATGCAAGTGGTTGAACTTGCCTGTGTTTTCTTTTCCATGTAGGAATATATAGCCAAAAAGTTCTCAATCATGCAGTCTCAGATTGGATATGAGATTCTGGCTGAGGACACAATCACTGCGCTGCTGCACAACAACCGCAAGCTGCTGGAGAAACACATCACAGCCAAAGAGATTGAGACCTTTGTCAACTTGCTGAGGCGCAACAGAGAGCCCAGGTCAGACTCGGACACCTCCCAAACATCGGACGATCAAAGGGAATCATTTGATAATAGAAAATATAGTATACAACTGCTATGTGCATGCACATTAGTAGTCATACATAATACTTTTCTAAAAATGTATATTGTGAAACACGGGGATGACAGTATTATAAATTTGAGGTGTTGATTTGGAGTGTACATTTGCTATATGAAAATAAGAAGCTGTTATTGAGTCCTTCTACTTTACATACAAATCTAAATACAATTTAAGAGCCAGAGAAGGCAACAAAGAAGAATGTGTAGAATGATTTGAAAATGGGGACAGATAAGCGTCTTTTGTACAGTCAGGAGAATTACACACAAACTTCTTCAATACCTCTGTGAACATGCTGAAACGTGTTTTCCAAAAGCATTAGATAAATGTTGTGATTCATGTCTGGTCTACATTTCCAGATTCTTGGACTACCTCTCTGATCTCTGCGTGTCCAACAAGACTGCCATCCCTGTCACACAGGAGCTTATCTGTAAATTTATGCTGAACCCCACCAACGCAGATATCCTCATCCAGACTAAGTGAGTCACACCCTGCAGATCTATATTTAACATCCGAGCCAAGCCTGTCATGCTTCAGCCGTTCATTTTAAACATGTCCAAACAGAACTCTCTCTACATGTCTCCCCCCCCAGCAGCTTTAACTCACAATATATTGTGTGCAGTTTTTTTCTTCTAACTGCTTTATGCCACCCCCCTCCTCAGGCTAATCCCTAACACTGAGACCACCCTGGAGTCTTCTCTGCTGCAGGAGGAGGTGGAGGAGGAGGAGGTTTGGCTCTACTGGATCGATAGCCACAAGGAACCTCACGGCAAATCAATCCGACACCTGGCTCAGGACGCTAAAGGCAACCACAAGATGGATATAGAAACCATCACCTACTACAGGTGACGGCTGTGGTCTATGCTTTAGTCTACACTACACTTTCTTTCTTCAGATTCAACATTTAATTTACAATTCACTTATCAGACTCTTTTATCCAAAGCGACGTACATCAGAGAGTAAGAACAACACAAGCAAGGATCTAGAAAAAAGGGAACAATGTGAGTAAGAGCAAACGATCAGCTTTGAGTCTGATTGGACACACAGGTGCTGACAGGAAGTGACCAGAGGCAAAGCACAACATTGAGGGCAGTTCTTGAGAGCTCTAATCCGTATAGAAACCATCTTATAAGTCGTCGTTATCAAACAAAAACCATCGTCATTACCATCATCATCATCAATAATATGGAGACCATCATCATTAAGTTAGTAGGTATTCATAAAGAGCTGGGTCTTTAGCTTTTTCTTAAAGGTGCAGAGGGATATTCAAATACTGTAATGTCTTCCACTAGTTCTAATAACTTGGGTTTTGGCAGTTTTATAGAGACAACTATGCAAGTTATTGTTCCTTTTTAATAGCTATTTACTACTTACCCTGTATGGATGTGATACGATTGCGTTCATTGTTGTACTGGTTGCCACAGTCCTGAAGGAGAGCTGCTCAATTTTGAATTAAAAGAACACATTTTTTTTTGTTCATGTTTTTGTCAAAGCATCTTTGAGTTTTCAGAAAAGCACTATATAAAACTAATTTATTATTATTATTATAAATTCAAAATGTGTGATAGGAAACCCTAATCGACAACTCTTTGCTAGACACCACGCTGTTGTCTTTGTTTCTGTCTCGAGGTGATTTAACTTAAATCACTGCTGTTCTGCTGGTGGCACCAATAATATACATTATTTCTGTCTTGGCTACCGTTTTGAAGAAGAGTGAACAAGTTAATATTTTAGAACGGCTAATAAATAATGGTATTGGATCTTTGCATTTATTGGCTAACTTGCTGATACTCGATACTGCATTGTAGCATGTATCGATGGTGATTCCAATTCAGGTGTGCTATTAGCAAAACTCAAATTCCTTCCTTTGCACACAAATAAAACTCAATCTCCGCTTCTTTTCATGTATGATCAATAAAACAAAAATCCCTTCACATTTTTTCTCTTCCTGTGTCCCCGCTTCCTCTGTAGATACCAGCTCAACCTGTTTGCTAAAATGTGTCTGGACCGTCAGTACCTCGCCATCAACCAGATCTCCTGTCAGCTTCCCGTGGATCTGATCCTGCGCTGCATGTTCGACGACTGCCTGCCCTACAACCTGAGAGCGTCCTTCTGCCGCCTCATGCTGCATATGCATGTGGACCGGGATCCTCAGGAGCCCGTGGTGCCGGTTCGCTACGCTCGCCTCTGGACCGAGATCCCCTCCAAGATCACGATCCACGAGTGAGTGCCCCACGAGTGTGTCATTTTCTTTGTAATATTGCAGATCGGCTCTATGTTTTCTTTTTTTTTATAAACATATTTATATTGAATTTCACATTTATCAGGACATGTACAACATTTATACATGCATGAAAAAAAATATGACATAAAACAACCCCCCAAAACAGAACACGTGACAGTATATTAATAACACAAGAATAAATAAGTGAAATAATAAACATAAACAGTCACATTTGACACATATTTCTCACACGGCTCTATGTTTTCTTGCAGGTTTGAGTACGAGACCACTGACACTTCAAGAGATGAGATGAAGAGTAAGTTCGCTCACACGATGGAGTTTGTGGAGGAATACCTCAAAGATGTGGTCAGCCAGCGGTGTCCATTTGGGGATAAAGACAAGAATGAGCTCACACTAGAGGTGAAAAAAAAACTCCTCATGTTACACATGCGTTTAAAAACACACAATGTAATCTTCATTAACTGTCTCACATGTGTTATCCATGTTGGCTTATTCCCCCTCTCTCTCTCCCAGGTGGTGAATCTGGCTCGTAACTTGGTGTACTTTGGTTTCTACAGTTTTAGTGAGCTGCTGCGCCTCACACGCACCCTGCTGGCCATTCTGGATATTGTCCAGCACCCGCTCACCTTTGTGAACAAGCTCAACAAGAGCCCCGAGGCTGGTCAGTATCAAAGAGTATAAGTGCAATAGTTCATTGTGTTGGTCAGATAAAGGTGTTTATCTTTATGATGAACGTTTAACAGGAACTTTCAAAAGTATTTTTGCTGTCTGCAAGTTAAAGTCTTTCTATGTGATGTTTCACACTTAAATATAAATCAAGTATCTCCTCTGAAAATAACTCTGTGAGTCATGACTGTCTACAATGGGTGTAACACCCGAGTCCCACTGTCTGTGATGTTTTCAGAGTTTTCAGAGTCCTATCTTCACTTTGTTTACATCGCCCGGACGGCCGGCTGACTCCTCCCCTCGTGTATAAAAGTTGTTTAATTGAGGGACTAGAGAAAAGAAGAATAACATACTGTACTCACTGCTTAACTGTGTTTCTAGATCACGCTCATTTCAGGTAAATTTACATGCAGTGTGAAGATACCAGCATGATAAAGATCGCTAGCATTAGCATGCTAACACAACAATGCAGCGTGACTTGTTTTGGTTTCATGCTGGTGCTCAAGGGCGACATCTGCTGGATCAAAACATCACATATAAAGCCTTTAAGTGATTTAAATAATTAAACAGAAGCTGCTAGATTATAATTTGGGTGTTGAAAAAAAAAAAAAAACGACACATGCTTGGACTGTAATTCTGTATGTACACTCCAAAAATAGATATTAATGATGAGTCTTTACACACACACACACACACACACACACACACACACACACGCACAAGGTTAAATGTGTGAGTTTCCTCTGTAGGCAACAATGTCCTCCGTACAATCCACGGCGTCGGGGAGTTGATGACTCAGATGGTGATGAGTCGCGGGGTCCCTCACAGCCTCCCCGACACCCCTGCCTCCCTTCGCTATGCTAAAGGACACTTCCTGCCGGACAACGAGGACGTCATGGTGATGGACACCAAGCTGAAGATCATCGAGATCCTGCAGGTTAGTGCCCCCTACTGGAAATATGTTAATGTGAATTCTACTGAAATGTGACCTTATTCAACAGGTTGATTTGATGCTTTTATGTCTCCCTGTTAGTTCATCCTGAGCGTGAGGCTGGATTATAGGATCACATACTTGTTGTCCATCTACAAGAAAGAGTTTGGGGAGAAGAGCATAACTGAAACCTCTGGCTCTGTGGCTGACTTGCTCCCATTCATTCGTGAGTCTTTATTTATCTCACTGTTATTTAATGTCTGTTTTTTGATCATTTTCTTCTTTTTAAACATTGCTAAAAAAATTGGATTCATCGAGGAGTATTCTTTAAATCTTTTTTTCAGGTTAACATATATGTATGTGAGGGGGGGGGGTTGTGCTTAATTTGTAACAAATGTTTCATGTCATGTACGTCTTTGTAACCTGGATGCTTTGAATTTCCCTCGGGATCAATAAACTATCTCTCTATCTATCTATCTATCTATCTATCTATCTATCTATCTATCTATCTATCTAGCTATCTATCTATCTATCTATCTATCCTCTTCTTTACATGCACAGTGCCGATCTAATGTTCACTTCGTTTTGTCTTCAGCTCCTGAACCCGACATAGATGAGATCGCAACCAAAGCAGAGAGCATGTTTGCAGGAAGGTAAGACACAGAGAAATCTCCAAAGATGTCGAATCTCCTGTCTTAAGATTTGCATGCTTGCATTGATTGACTGCGTGCAACATGTGTGGTTTCCAGCTCAGAGCTGAGTGCGGTGGAGCTGGACGACGAGGGTGGCAGGACGTTTTTGAGGGTTCTGATCCATCTCATCATGCAAGATTACCCCCCGCTGGTGTCTGGCTCACTGCAGCTGATCTTCAAGCACTTCAGCCAGCGAGCCGAGGTGCTGCAGGCCTTCAAGCAGGTAGGCACACAGCAAGTAGCACTCAGGGTGAGCTCAAAGAGTGTGGCATTAGGGCACTTCCTGAGTTAAGTGAGTTTTTGTCAGTTTGGATGAGGCGGGCCCTCCAAACAGCAGATGTTTTTAAATGTCTCCCTAAGAGCTTCCTCTGCTGGAATCATTTTAATAACATGCTGACTGAGCGAGCGAGCGAGCACCACTTGGCAGAGAAATGTTTTCACACTGTCACTACACTTTTTTTTATTCTCTTAATGTCATCCTGTCAGCTTTTATTTCTCATTCAGCGTTTTTTGTTTTGCTCTGTTTTTCCAGGTCCAGCTGCTTGTGTCCGAGCAGGATGTAGAGAACTACAAGCAGATCAAAACGGACCTGGACCAGCTGCGTCTGACCGTGGAGAAGTCCGAGCTGTGGGTGGAGAAGAGTGGAGTCTACAACGGTGAAGAACTCGGGGTCAGACAGGACAAGGAGCAGAACATCGAGGTGGTGTACCATCATTTCATGGTTTCCAGCGTCTGAACGAAATTTCACATTGCACTTATTGTGCAATGTGCACATAATAATAATAATAATAATAATAATAATAATAAAGTTTATTTATAAAGCACTTATCAAAACCAATGTCACAAAATGCTTTACAGAAAAAGAAAAATCCAACAGTCAAATACACAACAATAAAATCCTATTTTAAAAAAAGCATGAAAAATAAAACAACAGTGCAGCAATCATCCAATGAAAAGAAAACAACCGAGACAAAGATTGGCTAAAGTTAACAATAAAACAAATAAAACATCATGGATGAAACAAGGATTAGAAGTGATTTAAAAGGAGACACTGATGTAGCTCGTCTGAGATCCTCAGGCAGGTCGTTCCACAGCCGAGGAGCCCGAGATATAAATGCTCGATCTCCTTTCATGGAGTGACCTTCATGTCTCTACAGGAACTCACTATATTTATCTTAACATCCCATCAGTGTTCAGCTGCACTGTAAATAGCTCCCTTGTTTGTTGTTGTCGTTGTTGTTGTTCACTAAAAGCTGCTGGAAGCTGTGTACTGAGGAATAATGAATAATAATGTGCGGCAGAACAGGAACCAACTGTAACTAAAGTGTGTATCAGTCGGGCCGGTAACATGTTGTGTGTTTCTTTTAACATCATTATTGTAATAATAATGCAATGAGAAGGACGATAAAGATCAGAACAGTGACATCACTCTGTGATGAATGATGCTGATTAGAGACTGGATGTGAAGATTGTTGCACTCCACTGAGAACCCATAAGAGTCCAGCTTTGGTTAGCTGTGTCATCACAACATTTCAAATATTTAACATACCGTTACCCTCATCCGTGAAAACAAAAACAAAGATTGAAAAAGTCATTAGAGACATATTGTTAAAAAAAGAAAAAATCGAGGATGTTAAGGAGGAAAAGGGTCTCAAGATTATCTAGATGTTTGCTGCAGACTTCACTGTGGACCCTTTATACCTTCTGTAACTGCATGGCTAATTGTCTGTAAATTGTTCTCAACCATCCTCTAAATAAAAAATTGTAAAAAAAAATAAAAAATAATTATAGGCTGTTTTTTTTTTAAATCTTCATATGTCTCTCTTTTCAGGAGGTTGTCCTGAGCCCTGCGCAGGACGGAGATAACAAACCTCAAATTGATTGCAACAAAGCGAACAACTACAACATCGTCAAAGAGGTGAGCTTCCTGTTTTAACTTGTCATTTTTTGCTCCTGCTTTGTCTTCATAATGTGACGTCGCCCACAGGAGGTCATTCCTGCCTGTGGCGACATCAAACTTTATAACTCCTCCCTTTGAGTGACAAACACTCCATCTGACCCTGGAATATTTCAGCCTGAAAAAAACAAATTGGGATTAATAAAAAAAAAATTCTTTACTAAGTTTTTATTCATTTTTCTCATAAACAGCAGTACACTATGAAAAATATTTATTTTTTTGTTTCTTTTTCCAGTTGTATAGTTACATTCGGATATTAAGCCAGCAGAAATAGATTACAAAAGTAAGAAAAACAAACCAGAATGTCCACTCCAAAGAATATACATATACACAATAATACACATGAACAAACACGTACATAAATAAATGTTCATAAAAGTAGAGAAATGAAAATCATTAATAAAAGTTGTAATCATAAAGAAATAAATTCCAATACACTCAAAGATATCATGTGTCAAAGTACAGGTGTGAAGTCAACCCCAGGGAGAAATGGTGCATGATCTTGGTCTGCGCCCAAATTAAACATCACTCTCTATGGCATTAGTAAAGCCAGTACAGGTCTAATAAAGTATTTCTGATTCTGATGTTTGATGTCTGATATTTAGATCCTGCTGAGACTCAGTAAGCTGTGTTACCCGAGTAAGAAGAGTCGTGTGCAGCAGCAGAGGCTCCTGAAGAACATGGGGGCCCACACCGTGGTGCTGGACCTTCTGCAGATCCCCTTCGAGCAGGTGACAAACTCAAGGACTTGTCACACGTGTTGTGTATCTTTTTTTTGTTTTGGGTGCAAAACGTTTTAATTGTGTTCTCTTTATTGATCCAACATCTATGTATCTGTTTCTTTTGTGCACAGAGTGATGAGAAGATGAACGAGATCATGACCCTGGCTCACACATTTCTGCAGAATTTCTGCAGAGGAAACCCTCAGAATCAAGTTCTTCTGCATAAAAACCTCAACCTCTTCCTCACTCCAGGGGTAAATTGATATGATCTCATGTTGATATGTCTGTATTAGAAAATATTTTCCACTGTAGCATGCATCAGCGTGAACAGAATTTACCCATAATGAAAAACACAAGGTCCTAAACAGTGTCACAGTAGCCAGGGACCCTTTTCTTTGTTTTTTTCCCCCTATCTTTTAATAGGTTAATATAGGGGCGGAGACGGCTTAGTGTTTCGGTCACACCCCATCTACAGAGGCTACAGTCCTCCAAGCGGGGGCTCAGGTTCAAGTCCGACCTGTGGCTCCCCCCCTTTATGTCATTCCCTGTCATAGTGATAAAGGCAAAAAGCCCAAAAGTGAATGTTATGATTTGTCTAAAAGACTTCATCTTTACTCTTTTTTTTTTTTTACCAGCTGCTGGAAGCGGAGACGATGCGTCACATCTTCATGAATAACTTCCTGCTCTGCAATGAGATCAGCGAACGCGTGGTCCATCATTTTGTCCACTGCATTGAAACACACGGACGGCACGTTCAGTACCTCAGGTTCCTGCAGACCATTGTGAAGGCCGACGGGAAGTATGTGAAAAAATGTCAGGACAAAGTCATGACAGAGGTAGGAAAATGTCATCGATGATCATAAATCATTTTTCACCCTTTTTTTAGGGAATTTAACTGAAAGGTTAATTTCTAATTTTCACTTCACAGATTTCATGGCCATAAGTCTTCTTATTATTTGTGGGGTTTTTTCATTGTGTAGTACATGTTCATGATTAATGAACCCTGGACATTTACACACTGACACTTTACACTGTTTACATTATTCTATATTTTGTATATTCAAATATTTCTTTTTTTTATTAAATTTTTTTTTTTTTTATTTTTTATTTAATTTTGTATTTAATTTAATTTATTTAATTTATTTATTAATTTATTTAATTTATTTAATTTATTTTGTTTAATATTTACATTATTATTATTATTTTATTTTACTGTATAAATGTGTATTAGTAATTTCAGTGTTTATTGCATGGCCTTGCGGAACAGTCTTTACATTTTACTTCACATCTGTATGAGCATGTGACAAATAAAAATCTTGAATCTAATGTGTTAATTGTAATGTCAGGCCTCAGGTGAACCCTGCTTTTATCTCATGTAACTTTTCTCTTCCTGTCGCTATTTCCAGCTGGTTAATGGAGGCGAGGACGTGCTGGTGTTCTACAATGACCGCTCCTCGTTCTCGGTGCTGCTGCAGATGATGGGCTCTGAGCGGGAGCGGACTGATGAGGACGGCGCTCTGGCCTACCACAACACGCTGGTGGAGCTGCTGGCCGCCTGCACCGAGGGCAAGAACGTCTACACCGAGCTGAAATGCAACTCTCTGCTGCCCCTCGACGATATTGTCAAAGTTGTCACCGACGTTCACTGTATACCAGAGGTAAAGGCTAAACGATTGACCAGGAAATGATCTTATGGTTGGAGATTTATAGTGGAGATAAAAACTTGTCAAAGTCTTATAACATTCCTGTATAAACAAGTCATCTTATCTCTGATTCTTTTCCCCCCTCAGGTGAAAACTGCCTATGTGAACTTTGTGAATCATTGCTACGTGGACACAGAGGTGGAAATGAAGGAGATCTACACCTCCAACCACATCTGGAAGCTCTTTGACAACTTCCTGGTGGACATGTCCAGTGTAAGGCTCTGTCACATTTAAAGGTCACACTAGTCTGACTGATACTTTTATAATGAGGCTCTTTAAAATGTGTCAGGATACACTGAGGCAAAGAAAGTGAATACAGACAAAAACTGAGATTTTTTCTTGTGAGGCTTAGCTCATTCAAAAGTTTGACTTTTTTTCATTTTAATAGTCTTTTATTGATTTTTGCATTAATTGTAGACATCTCACATTACACACGTTCATGTAGCAATATTAGCACACAAGCATCCAGCTTGTGCCACACAACACCGTTAACAGTACAAACACCCCTTGTAAAGGGAAAAATAAAAACTAAATAAATAATAAAATAAAATAAAATAAAAATAAAAAATACAAAAATAATAAAAAAGTTATGATAATAATAATTATAAAAACTAAAGTATATATATATATACATACATATACGCACATAATTTAAGAAATAAATGAGTAAAATTATGATAATAAAGAATAAATAAATAAATGTAAAAATGTTTAAAAACAAAACATACAATATAAATAGAAAAAATGTGAATAGAAGTCCGGTAATTAAATAAAACAGAAAAGGGACAAAACAATATTAAGATTAGTCAAAGTTATCAACCGCTGTAAGAAATTCAAAGTAGAATTGAAATTGTAACTAAAAGAAGGAGGAGGAGAGGAGAGAAAAGGGAGGGGGCTACCTGAGTGTGCTCGGCAGATAAAAGTTTGACTATTTTTATTTCGTTCTTGTGTTTTAGGTGTGCAACACGACCACAGACCGTAACCACGCCGATCTGGCCTTGGAGAAGTATGTGACAGAGACGGTGATGGCCATTGTCAAAGGTTTCTTCAGCTCACCTTTCTCTGTCAACCACTCCAATCTGCAGGTATCGTTTTCTCCCCTCCAACAGGCCAGTGAAATGCGTGGGGGTTGGGACACACTTGGTTGACACGTCTCAATCCTTTATCCATTTTATAGAATACTGCACCCTCACCTGGGACACGTTTCATTGGAGAATTTTGTATCTAGAGCAGCAGCTTGACTTTTTTTAAATCCTGATATCTGTACTAACATCTTCTATCAGAGCAGATATAGAAGTGTTCCCATCAGGGGTTAGCGCTGTCTTTTTCACCTTTATGAATCTCCTTCATTCTCCTCTTTTCATAGACAAACCAGTCGGTCTTCATCAAGCTGCTCCAGTCTTCTTTTAGGATCTACAACTGCAACTGGATCAGCTCAGCTCAGAAGGTTAATATCGAGAGCTGTATCAAGACACTGGCTGACGTCGGTGAGTGTCCAACTTTCAGCTTTGAATGTTGACGGAGACATTGAACATTACAAGCGTCAATGTAAAGATAATTATTGTTCTGACTGTATCGATTGAGCGTATTTGTGGCAGGATTAGTTCAGAGATCAGTTTATTTTGTGCCACTCTTTCATTCATTCAAACACAAGTAAGTAGGAGCAGCAGCTGGATCAATGCAGGGTTTAGATGTTTAATGAATATAACCAATAAACTCACAGACATGTTCCTTCACACCCTTCCTCAGCTAAGGCGCGGGCCATCGCCATCCCTGTGGATCTGGACAGTCAGGTCAACACTCTGTCTCTGAAGGTCCACAGCCACATGGTGCAGCGAGCGGCCAAGGACTGGAGGATCTCTGCACGCACACGACCACGCAAGGAGCCCCTGGGCGGCCCCGACTACAAGAACATTATTGAGAAGCTGCAGGTGCACATTTTGTTACAGAGTCTACATTCATGCTATCATAAGCTAATGACGGCTACATGTTAGCACACTGTTTGCTTAGCATGTTAGCATGCTGTCATTTACTAATTAGCACCAAGTTCTGCTCATAATGGAGAAAAACAAAATCTGACCTAATGATGGCACGAGACAAAAAAGGTACACCAAATGTTCTATTGCTTTAAGAATTTAAGTCAACAGGGACATGAATGTGTAGACCAAACTTTTCTACAATCCATCCAATAAATAAGATTAGATAAGATAAGATAATCCTTTGTCAGTGTTTCCCCTACCAATATATTGGGGGGCGGCCCAAATTATTATTCTTTTTTTTAAAGATTTGTTTTTTGGCTTTTTGTGCCTTTATTGTAGAGGTAGGATAGTGGATGGAGTCGCAAATCAGGTAAAGAAGTCATTTAAGGATACCTCTCCGATAGAAAAGGACAGCTGTCATTAAAAGTAACACCTGAACACCAAGATTCATTGAAGTGTTTGTGTCGTTGTGTCGGCTTGTCCCCACCCCCCCAGCGCTGTAAACCTAGGGGAAACACTGCTTTATTGATGCGCAGTTGGGGAAATTCAAGTGTTGCAGCAGTGACAGACAAGAAGAAGAGCATGCATGAGTACAAATAAAATAAGAATATGTGTGAATAAAATAAAAATAAAGATAAAGCTAAAATGCATTCACAACTATTATAAGCAAATATTAAGTTAACTATACACTAAAAACTTTGCAGGACATTGAGACATATTAAGTGGCAAGTTTAAGTTAAAGTGACAGAATTTAAAAAAGGTAACAAAAGAAAGCAATGAATATCAAAATAAGCATCTAGAAGTGATATGATATGAGTGACAGTATTCAGCTGTATCATTTCCTCCAGGACAGATTTTCACGGGCCTTTATGTGTCTCTGTCCACAGGGGGTCGTGTCCCTCCTGGAGGAGCAGTTCAGTCCAAAGGTTCAGGCGGAGTTTTCTGTGCTGGTCGATGTTCTGCACAGCCCCGAGCTGCTGTTTCCAGAGGCCGCTCGCTTACCGTGTGAGAGCGGAGCTTTCATGTCTAAGTGAGTCGCTGTCCACAATCTGTGTTTGGACCAAAGTCTTTTAGATAAATAACATTTAAAGTCTTCATTTAGCCACAAAAAAAGATCAGCAGTATGGTTTTTCTTGGTAAGGTGATTTATTTTGACATGATGATTGCTATGTTTTTATTGTTGTTGCTGATATTCAGTATGGGCAGATATAAAGATGAACTTTTGCTGATGGGAAACAATTGACTTCCTGTATTGCAAATAAATAAACTACCGTCCAGATTATATGCAAACAAAGTTCATAGGGAAAAGTTGGCAGTCTAAACTGGATATCTGAGGCAATATAAAACAAATCTGGCACATCTCTGTTAAATAAAGGAGTGACTCGGATGTTCATTTTAGACCGTCAACTCTGACCATAATCTTAACATAACACACAACCTGGACAGTCATTTATTGGCACTAATTTGACTCTGTCCCTTATCCGTGTAGAGAACTTATTCCTTCTCATCATTTTAATCTTTTTTTTGTCCACCCTGTGCAACACTCGCTTCATTCCATTTTCTATTTGCTTTGTATTTCCATCGTAGAAAAATGTAAAAACATCTCCTTTTTGCGCGGCGAATAAATGTTGATTTTTTTGTTGTTTATAGAAATGTTTAAAAAATGTGAATTTGTGGACATTTTAGAAGTTTTCTTAGAAGATCGTTATGATAAATCAAACCTCTAGGGGTGCTGCTGCTCTGCTGCTACGTCCTGAAAGCAGAAAAAGGAGATTTCAGCAGTTAGTTGTCAATAAAGCACTTGTCTTGTTTTTTTAGCTGTTCTCCAGTGACTGAGTGCATAAGCATGTAGGTGATACAGCACTTCTCTTGTCACTCTTACAGACTGATTAAACACACCAAGAAGCTGATGGAAAAAGAGGAGAAGCTGTGTATTAAGATCCTCCAGACGCTGCGAGAGATGCTGGACAAGAAGGAATGCATTCAGGAGTCTGTGAGTACTCAGCACCCGCATGGGGAGTGTTTCACTAAAACATGCTGTACAGAACATTTTTGTCACTTTTACAAGACACATGTAGGACCCCCCCCCCCCCCCCCCACCAAAAAAAAAAAGATTACAGTCTCCTTTCACTTTACACATAAAGGCACATACATGAAGTAATGTTTGGTGAGTGTTGAGCGCTGTCTCCAATCAGCAGCAGTGCCTCACTCCCATCAGCGATGCCGTGCAGCCCTTGTTTTCTCCCATGTCTGTCGGCCCAGAGCCCAGACTTCCCTTCATCAGTATGCTGTAGGCCTGTCTATGTTACATAAGGTAGGGAGGCACTTGAGGACACACTCACACTGAGAGGGGAGAATAGGAGGGAGGAAGTAAGGAAAAGGAGGGAGGGGGGAGAGAGAACTGAACAAACAAATCAATACTGCAGCGAGTGTGTGTGTGTGTGTGTGTTGGAGTGGGGGGGGTGCAGGAGCCTGACTCCTGCTGGAAAGTGAACGACAGGAGTGGCTAGGATGTTTGAGAAAGTAGCTCGAGGTGTGTGTGTTAGTGTGAAGGTAGGGGGTGGAGGATAAGGGCCAAAGTAGAGAAAGTCTGTAGTTCCCTGCCTGGAGGTTTTAGGAGTTGTTGGTTTTGGCTTCATGCTGATAGGAGGTGATTGTGTGTGTGTGTGTGTGTGTGTGTGTGTGTGTGTGTGTGTGTGTGTGTGTGTGTGTGTGTGTGTGTGTGTGTGTGTGTGTGTGTGTGTGTGTGTGTGTGTGTGTGTGTGTGTGTGTGTGTGTGTGTGTGTGTGTGTGTGTGTGTGTGTGTGTGTGTGTGTGTGTGTGTGTGTGTGTGTGTGTGTGTGTGTGTGTGTGTGTGTGTCACTTTTCTTAACTACTACACATTTATGGTTTTAGTAATTCACTTTTTAATGATAATTTAACTGACATGTTTTTACTGAAGAATGAATGAATGTATTTTGTTATTTTGCTTCTTCATCAGAGCTCTGTGAAGTCCAACACACATTGCCCACTGGGACAATAAAGTTAATCTTAACAAGTGAGTGTTGGCAACGCTCAAAACTGAAAACATGTCTTTGGATTCAGTTAAACGCCCTACAAATGATCCCGTAGTTAACTGGCAGAAAGCATGTGTTGCTTTCCTCTCACCTTGTATGAATGCACATTTTGTGGCTTATAATGCTGTTTTAAAAGCTGTTTCACCAATACATCACTTATTAAAATATATATTTAATTCTGTGTCTTTACACTCTCTCTGTGTAATTGCATTAGTAAATGTGTTAAGTCTAAAGTTGTCAATATAGAAACATGCCAGCCCGTGTCACTTGTAGCTCCTGAAGAGTCAGACTTCTTGTTTTCTTCTGTTTGTGTTTGCGTCTCATGTCAGGCAGCCAAGCAGTTTTTTTTCCGTCAGGCAAATTACTCAACAGTTGTGTCGAACGAGATCTGAGGAATACAAAGTGAAAAAAAAAAATACTGCCAATTTTTATTTTTTTTCTTAAAGTAGCTCAGTAGCATTTGGAGAAGCCAGACAAGTGCGGTAACAATATGTGAAATGTCAGTTTGTGTAGGTGTGAGTGAGTGTGCTCCAGCGTGTATTTGTGGCCTCTTTTGTCATATTCCTGTAGCCCTGAGTGTGGAGCTGCAGCCTCGCCTCACGGGATGGAGAGTGAGAGAGAGAGAGAGAGAGAGAGAGAGAGAGAGAGAGAAGAGAACGATGGAAATAATGAGTAACGGAGAGGTAGACAGACAAAAAACAGAAGGAGAGAGAGAGAGGAGTGACAGCACAGGCAGCAGAGGTTGGTGGCTCCCCTGGGGTGCAATGAGTGGGTGGAGGAGAGTGAGAGAAAGAGATGGAGGGAGAGTGATCGAGGAAGGGGAGGGAGGGAGGGAGGGGAGGGTGGGAGGCAGCCATGTGAGGAGCCATGTGAGTGGAAGAGAAAAAAACAAAAGTGGGCAGCTACTGCAGGGTGAGGGATTGGAGAGAAGCAGAGTCTGCTCAGTCCATGAGGAGACAGGGCAGGGGGTGCGCTTACGTAACAGCCTGCAGTGGCTGAGCCAGCGTCACGTGGACCATCACGTTCTCCCCCCCTCCCCCTCCCTCCCTCCCTCCCTCCCTCCTTACTCTCACTTTCTGTCCACTTGCCGCCACTCTCTCTCTTCCCTCGTTCCCCCCTCCTCCTCCTCCTCCTCGCTATGTCTCATTGTGTATTGCATTCTGTCTGCTTACCTGGGTTATTTTCGCTTCTTTCTCTCTCTCCTCTCCCCCCCTCCCCCCCTCCCCCATGTCCTACCCTTGCCCTGTTCTGTTCTGTGTTTTCCCCGGGTCATGCCAGGAGCTCTGGGCCGGGGCAGCGAGTCACAGTGAAGAGATGTGTTGGCTCTCACGGCTGCACTTTTTACTGATCTGTTCAGACGTTTAATGTGAGGGGGGGAAAACACTTCAAAAGAAAGTTGCAGGGGCGCTGGTGGCGCAGTGCCCTATGTATGGAGGCTGTGGTCCTTCAAGCAGGCGGCCCAGGGTTCGAATCCCGCCTGTGGTTCCTTTCCTGCATGTCATTCCCCACTCTCTCTCTCTCCCTGATTTCAGACTCTAGCCACTGTCCTATCTCTACATTTAAAGGAAAATAAAGAAAAAGTCCAAAAATAATAAAAGAAAGAAAGTTGCAAAAAAATACGCACAAATTGTCAATTATAGCCTAAAATGTTTAAATGTTTTGTCATCTTATGCACTTTTTCACTGTGCAGGGATAACGCTGGTGTTTGACTCTCCTCAGGGGTCTAACACTAAGCTGCAACTCATTTGTTGCTACTGGTTGCTTAAATCTTTAAGAGTGGGTCACCAGTGCACACAGGTGTTTTATATAAAGGCTCGCTAATGTCTTTAAATCATTTGGGAACCGCAGTTTTCACAAAAACTACTCAAACAGGAATGAATAATGCATTTGTTTGGGACTATTTTCAACTGTGGATTACTACACGTTGAGGTATTTTTGAAGGTTTAAAGACAGTATTTGTTGCTGGATTCAAGAAAACGATACTCCATTAATAATAAGGTGTCTTGGTTTGGAAATATAGAATATAGTATGATTGCTCTGGTCCAGTTTTTTGTTTTTTTTATGAGAAGTGCATCATTTTGCTCTTCACCTCTGGATTAAAACCAGAAATCTCCCACCAAGACATGATTTTATGCTTTTTCTTCCAATGTGTATGCAGTGTTGGGCCACACTGACTCAGTTTACATCAACTGTTCGTCATAATACAGAGACAGAGTTTGATTGCAGGATTTAGTCATTAGTTTTATGTTTTTATATGATTGGTTGACAGTATGAAGAAAAAAAAAGATTATTACAAAAACGATCCTTTAACATCACCAGCTCCTTTTAAACTTTTGTTTATGTGAGCCTATCAGATGACTTCTGTGAAAACACACATGCCTGTGTATGTAATGTGGTGTCATGTGTGCATGTGAGCGTGCCCTCTTGTTTACAGAGGATTGAAAAAGCTTGTTATATAAACCACTGTCACACTCTCTTTCACACTCGTCCCTGTCATTCACACGCTGCCTGTCTCTCTCTCCCTCCCTCTCTCTCTCTCTCCCTCTCTCTCTCTCTCTCTCTCCCCCTTTCTCTCTCTGTCTCTTCTCTCTCTCCCTCTCTCTCTCTCTCTGTCTCTCTCTATCTATCTCTCTCTCTCTGTCTCTCTGTCTCTCCCTCTCTCTCTCTCCTCTCTCTCTCTCTCTCTGTCTCTCTCTATCTATCTCTCTCTCTCTCTCTCTGTCTCTCTCTGTCTCTCTGTCTCTCTCTCTCTCTCTCTGTCTCTCCCTCTCTCTCTCTCTCTCTCTCTCTCTCTGTCTCTCCCTCTCTCTCTCTCTCTCTCTCTCTCCTTTCTCTCTCTGTCTCTCTCCTCTCTCTCCCTCTCTCTCTCTGTCTCTCCCTCTCTCTCTCTCTCTCTCCTCCTTTCTCTCTCTGTCTCTCCCTCTCTCTCTCTCTCTCTCCCTTTCTCTCTCTGTCTCTCTCTGCCTCTCTCTCTCTCTCTCTCTGTCTCTCCCTCTCTCTCTCTCTCTCTCTCTCTGTCTCTCCCTCTGTCTCTCCTCTGTCTCTGTCTCTGTCTCTCTCTCTCTCTCTCTCTGTCTCTCCCTCTCTCTCTCGCTCTCTCTCTCTCTCTCTCTCTCTGTGTCTCTCTCTCTCTCTCTGTCTCTCTCTCTCTCTCTCTCTCTCTCTCTCTCTCTCCCTCTCTCTCTCTCTCTCTCTCTCTCTCTCTCTCTCTCTCTCTCTCTCTCTCTCTCTGTCTCTCCCTCTCTTCCTCCCTCTCTCTCCCTCTTCTTGCGAGCCAAGTTTCACACCACCTGCCCAAGGCAAAGCAGATTTACAGATTACCACCCTCTCCACGCTAAGCCCATCACACGGACGCATGTAGACGGAGAGCAAGCTTTGGGACACACACACACACACACACACACACACACACACACACACACACACACACACACACACACACACACACACACACAGTCTCAGGCGTGCAGTGCCATGCTGTTCCCTGTGTGAGCTCATCCTGCAGGGCTTCCCTCCCTGTCTTGTCTGTCTCCTTGTGGGAGTAGGGGAACATGGTTAAGGAAGCGGGTCAGACTGGCAGGCGGAGAGCGGGGCGATCTTACAGTTTGACCTTTAGATGGATTCTGGCTGACGCAGCAGGATCAGGATGAGTCAACTCAAAAAAAGTTGGAGTGTAGAAATGTAGAACCTAAAATGTGGGTGTGTTATCTTGTGTCAAATAACAATAATAATAATTAGTGTGGAAATGAATTTGTCATGTATGTTTTTCTACTGCTGGAGTTTATTTTTTTCTTCCCACACTACTTCCCACGACCCATCAGTCAGGTGTCTGTTAGTCGAGTGTTATGTTTTGGTTTCCATAGCGATGACAGATTATAGCACATGTTGTTTGTCTGGTCTGTGTCTTGGCACAGGAGATCTGTGTGCCCCGTGCAGA